CAGATCTCCCCAAAACCCCAAAACCCCAAAACCCCATTTTTCTTCCAAAATGTTGATGTTTAGCACAGAGTAGGTTTATTTTATTATGGAAATCCTCCATCATAAGGATAAAATTCACAATTTTTGAGATAATAAGCGTCTTCTGGAGGCTTTATGCACTCATCTTGATCTAATTGATCCTCAAGGGAATCTTTGTCCCATTTATTTGTCCAAAAGTTAAAGACATTACGATGGCCAACAAGGACTATCTTCTCATCTCCTTCTAGAGGATTCTGGATCAAGAATTGTTTCAGGAACTCTTTGGATTTCAACACTCTTTTATATAGACTAAGGTCACTTTCCAAAAACAACGGGAATCTTAATGTGAGCAATTCCATTATTTCTGACCGAAACCCAGAGGTCTCTTTCTTGCTATTTCTAGAAGCGATTGTCTGAAGTAGGTCCCTAGCCCAGTCCATATCTACATCATAGAGGAAGAAGTTGTGCATATCTTCATATTTCTCTAATTCTGAAGTATCAAAATTTGGAAAAATTTCTCTGTATTCGTCCATCCTCTGAACGATGTCTCCAGGGACATCGTCAGAATTGACGATGCATTCCTTCATCAGAGGAAGCACGGTGAATGTAATATTCTTGAAATTTGGATGCTCCTTAAAAACATTATGGGCAGTTTCTTGTATGATTAAGAGGAAAGCTTACCTAAAGCTCTCAGTAAAGGAGACACGATAACATGCTTCACATTCAGAAGGTTGGCAAGAGGCTGTGCCTCTTGGCACTGCCTGTAGCCTAACTCTGAAAGATGACAGTCGATAAGATCAACCTTCTTCTTAAGAGTCTTAAGTTGATCATCTGTGTAATCAGAGCTGAGAAGAGCATCATGCTCTTGATTAGACATGGAATTTCCATGTCTAAGAAGGATAACTTGTGAACCTTCGTTTAGAGCCTTGGCCTTATTCTCTAGGTCTGATAAAGTGGGTTCGTCGTTAGAATCCATTTTTCTGAAATTTTTTCAAAAATTTAGATTATTAAGGGGTTTTGGGGTTTTGGGGTTTTGGGGTTTTGGGG